TTTCGGCCGGGCAACGCCGGGTACTTCCCGCTAGTAGTTAATACATTCTATATCTTGCCTTGATTCTCTATGTTCCGGATCGAGTTATCGTCCATCTTTCTGTCGCCGTTAAAGCACGTTTACAAATCCTCGTTGGTGCCCTATGAAAAATATTGTAGGAATTGCATGGGATAGAAAATGGATCCTAAATCCTCTCTCTCCCATATTTTAAAAAAGAGCAATCCTCCCCGTATGCAAAGAGGTTGCCCGCAAAAGGTCGAAACAGCAAATGATGAACCTGTAAATATTCAAGGGCCTCCTGTATGAAAATGCAATTCACGTCAAATAAGTTTACGAAAAAAAATTAGCTAGTTGGCTAGATACGACTGAAAAACACGTCAGAATATGTACTCCGAAGGCAATTATTGAAGGTGGGTCGGGATAATAATGTATGAAACAAGCAAACAAAAATCTATAATTAAAACGACATACTAGAGTGCCTGAATCAAGGTTTTATTCAGTGCATAATACAGAGATGACATAAGAGGCAGTGGGCATAAAGTTATGCATGCTGGGAATTACACGAGATTGAAAAATAAACTATGGCTCAGGAAAAGACAAATTAAAGACGCTTTTTCGACTGTTAGGTTAGTGGGCTGGGACAATTCACATCACTCGAAGGGACGATGGCTGACGGACGGGACTGGTGATGGAATGGCAGCCAAAGGGAAACACGCGCTCAAATGTATGGCTAAATGGCTATATATACGTAAGTATATATATTCTGATTTTGCTTCATTCGTCGATTGTTAGAACATAGCTGATAATGACTGATGTATGCTTTGGTATGACAGTTAAAAGGTAAATATGCTTTTCAAAGTAAAGAAAATGCGTTACTGTATAGACAAATATTTAAGAGCGTATAACCCTTGTAATCATTTTTCGATTACAGTTATATATATTTTTGCGCATTTTTATTCAAATCTAAACTGTGGAACACTGTAAAATAGCCATGACAAACGGGAAAAAAACAGCGGTTAGCTTTACCAAAGTTTCCATGGGCTTGTAAAATGCCACACGAATTAACATCAATCGCTTTATCTCGAGTCAACAACGGGCACCTGCCGGGCGGTCCCGGTGCTGGTGGCCAACGGCGCTGAGCCTGGGGGGTCGCGTGTGGAGGGTTCGTGGGCGCGCGCTGCTCGTACGCGGCTAATAGCAGCTGCTGTTGTTCTCACTTCGCCTCGGCTCCGTCAAAAGGTGAGAGCCTCGCCACTTCCCCCGTTCCCCTCTTTTTTGACGTCGACCGTCGTCAACGCAGTCGTTTGTTGTTGTTGTTGTTGTCGTCGTCGTCGTTGTGTTCTACTGAGCGTGTTCGACGACTACAGGTAAGCAGGTGAGCTTCGTGAATTGTGTTGTCGCGGTATTTGCTGGCTTTTGCTAGGCTATTAATTTTGCCCGCACAGCACGGTACTGCATTTAACATTCACGGATTTGGTGGTATCATTATTTTAGCACGGTTGGCTACGTACGGTGCGAAATAAGTTCAACATACATACAATGCTTAAAATCCATTATCAAAGAGGAAACATACTCTCACAGGGAGAGAGCACTGCTGTTGGACACGTTTATATGTTGAGCTGGAAAGTATTAACATACATAGGGGACTGCCATAAAATTGATGTGTCGAGCCTAGTTGTACCTCCTTAGGAATCCAAATGTTATCACTAATCTTGATGAGTTCCTCACAACCACTGCTGGTGATGCCACCGTGCCCTCTGTACTGCTCCTGCCAGTGTGCATCAGTCTGGCACTAATTATCCATGACTCCTATCATCCGTGCGGTGGAACCAATCAATACACGATGTTTTCCATTGTATAAGCATCAGCTCCTCCTAGTATCCTATTAGCTCGGGGTCAGCAGCTACATCATGAAACCTCCTTTGTCAGTATTAAATTATGATACTGGGCGACATGATTCCTTGCAAAGGTTTCAGTTTGGTGTTTTAACATCTTAACACCTATATTCTTGGTTCTTTCGGGAAAGTCACGTAGAAGGGAAACAATAACATAAAAAATATAAAACAGTGAGAATATTATTGTTTTTCATTTTATTGTTTCCCTTCTACGTGACTTTACCGAAAGAACCAAGAATATGCATCCCTGCAGTCACGAAAGCTTTAAATCAAAATCTTAACACCTGTTTTATTGCCATAGCCTTATCATAATTTAATACTGGCAAAGGAGGTCTCATGATGTAGCTGCTCACGCCGAGCTTTCAATGTCCTGATAGTGCATTGTCTGTGTGCTGTTTGCCTTTTGGCGTCCTCTGGTCTAACACTGTTTGAGACGAGGCTCTAAAAGAAAGCTGTCTCTGGTGTGGACCAATCAGTTTCAAAGACAATGCACATACTGTCAGAGCATGTTGTTTTGTTTGCATGTTCACCACAAGTATCTGTGGTTAATGCAGACATGATTCCTTGCAAAGGTTTCAGTTTGGTGTTTTAACATCTTAACACAACTGTTTTATTGCCAGAAAGGGGAAAACCCTATTATCATAATGTAATACTGGCAAAGGAGGTCTCATGATGAGTTATTTTCAATCGAGATCTATTATTAAAGCCCGGCGTTCCGTTTGTCAGAAGGCCTGAATGCCCACATGTGGAAATGTGGGGGTGAAACGTTGATCCAACAGGTTTACAACAATTGTCGACCCCCACCAATAAATGTTCACTCCCTCCCCCCCCCCAAAAAAAATGTGTTTTGGAGGCATATATGCATACATACAATCGAGTCAGTAGGATCTGCACACAGTTGGGAGGGTGGTGAATAGGACATCAGTGGGGGCGACGGGCGATGGGCGAGGCGCCGAGAAGACCACCGCAGGAGCTCAAATAAGGCGGCTTGCAGGCCGCCAAAATTCCAGGAGGATTGAAATGCCCCTTGTGACTTTGGCTGACTGCAAGAGGTTCGCTGACTCGTGAATAAGGGGGAGCTCCATTGCAGATGCTTTGCTCGTACGCATTGAACCCTCACAACGCTGCACAACACCAAGCACGGCACGTTTAGCATGATAATGAATGCTGAACGTGCGACATGTAATGAATGATATCTGATTCGAGGTTATATTACGTTAAGACCTATAACGTAGCAGAGTGCTTGTGGCACAGCGCAGTCTCGGGAGCGTCGAATGCATTCGTTGCGTCAGGGTGGATGAGCTGGGGCTAAAACGGTAAAGGTGCAGCCCCGGAATTGCTCGCTCAAGCCACTGCTGTGGGAACGGCCTCCCACGAGAAGGAGATCGAGAGAGTATTTGGCCTACTCTTCCACGCTTGACAACACGTGTTGGAAGAGGTGGGCGTATCCACACTTTACCCCACCACACGCAACCTGCCAATCACTCACTGTCGTGTACGCATTTATACTGCCGGGTGGACATAGGCAGAGGATATTTAAGAAACTGCTCCCATTGACCCGAGTGCCGCCCAGGGAGATGGAATCGAACCGGCGACCTCTAGAATCGCAAATCCAATGCGCTAACTCTCTACTGAAGCCACCTCGTGGGTAGCCGACCGAGACATTGGCATACAGCTCGTGAACAAATTGCCATCATGCACAATAATAGAAGAGAGTACTGACAATGACCCCACTGTGGCTGCCCTGAGCCAGGGACCCATCGCGATGTTAAACCTTGCCGTCGGGATCAGGGAGCTTCCTGGAGGCATTTACAAGAATACAAAGAAACAAACTCTAACTAACATCTTTGGTTCTTTCGGTAAAAGTCACGTAGAAAGTGCATTAAATAATAGAAAACGACGTTTCGATTGCAACACAAGCAATCGTCTTCAGGTACGAATGAATGAGAAAACAAACCTAGTAAACTTAGAAATATAATGCAATACAACACAGAGAGTCGGCTAACATAACAGTCAACACCCTACCTGGTTGATTACGTTCGTCCAAAGATTGCTAAATTTGAGAGAGAGACAAAACACAGAGACGGAGACACAGACATATAAGCAAAGAGAGACAACACAGATACACACGTTTTAACCACCTCTACGGAGAGGATTTAAGTTTGTTTTCCCTCTCTGTGTGTCTCTGTGTTGTCTCTCTCCGCTTGTGTGTCTGTCTTTGTGTCTCCATGTCTGTGTTTTGTCTCTCTAATTTAGCAATCTTTGGAAGAATGTAATCAACCAGGCTATGCGTTAATTGTGTGTTGACCGACTCTGTGTTCCATTGCATTACATGTCCAAATTTTACGAAGTTTGTTTTATTATTCAATTTATTTTCTTTCTACGTGACTTTACTGAAAGAACCCTGAGTAATTCCTGCAGTCACGAAAGCTCCAAATCTCTCATTGACATGCCAATTTCTCTACCCCCCTCCCCTCTCTCTCTGCCCCCCCCCTTCTCTCTCTATTTAAGCCCTCGACACAGAGGCGTTGTTTCTCTGTGTGCCCATGTGTGTGTCTCTGTGTATCTGTGTTGTTTCTCTCTGCTTATATGTCTATGTGTCTTCGCGTCTGTGTTTTGTCTCTCTCTCAAATTTAGCAATCTTTGGAAGAACGTAATCAAGCAGGTAGGGTGTTGACTGTTATGTTAGCCGACTCTCTGTGTTGTATTGCATTATATTTCTAAGTTTACTAGGTTTATATACTTAGTTTTTTCGGTAAAGTCACATTGAAGGGAAACAACAAAATAATAAAATATATATTGTTTTCATTGTTTTTAATTGTTTTATATATATTTTATTATTTTGTTGTTCCCCTTCAACGTGACTTTACCGAAAAAACTAAGAATATGAATTACTGCAGTCACGAAAGCTTTAAATCAAAATTTTACTAGGTTTGTTTTCTCATTCATTCGTACCTGAAGACGCTTGCTTGTGTTGCAATCGAAACGTTGTATTCTATTATTTTATTTATTTTCTTTCTACGTGACTTTACCGAAAGAACCAAAGAGTTATTCCTGCAGTCACGAAAGCTCCAAATCAACTTTTAAACTCTAACATGCATTTATAAACATTTTACTCATATAGGGTAACCGTAAATGTTTCTGAGGAATATTTATGTTTTCATATTAATTACATTTCAAGGTACTGTTTCAATGTTAACGTAATGTACCCTACTGCTGCAACGTGTGTGTGTGTGTTATGTTAATTGCGCTAATGTGCATTTCTTCTGTTGTTAACTGGACGCTGTTGTTTTTGGAGTGTATGCAGTATGTACATGAATTAAATAGACGCTTTATTTATTTTCAGATTCATTAAACATGTTGTTCCTGGGATATGCTGCACTTGTGGCGTTTGTGTTAATTTCAAAAGGTAAGTTGTGCTTCCATATCTGCGTTTTACGCTTGATGGTATTTAAAATTAACGCGTCACAGAAAATGGATGACCGCGTGTGGATCGTTGCAAGTAATTTAATTGCACGTGCAACAGCATTGATGGCTGTGTAGGCTGTGTGTAGGTTGTGTCTCGGCGTGGTCAAGCTTTGAGTTTGACCTGCGTCACCTCCCATGTAGGTGTCCTTCTCAAGGCCTTGTGGCTCCGCTTGCAAGACATGCACTTCAGGACTTGCCATTGTACAGCATCACTTGAGATTCAATGTCATTGGACACTGCCGTTGACTAGGACATAAACTATCTGCTAAATCAAGGGTGCACAACTAAATCATCAATCGATCCAATTGTGTTATCGTTCCATCGTCACGAACAGGAGGAAGTAACTGATGCCACATTTGCAGAAAAGGGAAAGCTCCTGGACCAGATGGAATAACTTGGCATCATCAAAGAGGCAGCAAAGAAATTGTAGACAATTACGAGACCTTTACACAGCACTGGAATGCCTCAAGCATAGAACGATGCCCCAATTATCATTCCATTTATAAATAGAGACGACACCGATTTGATGGATTACAGGCCCAGTGTCGTCCTCGCACACACACGGAAATTGCTCACCAACATCATGGCGTGCAACATTGTGGACGACGTAGAGGCCAACCAAATCACTAGAGCAAGCCGATTAGGGAAACGTGTTTCTACTCTCGCTTGCATGCATCCTGGAAATCTAATACTGGGGAAGACTTGAAGCATGGTGGTGGATGCGCTGGAGAGGATTGTGCCATGACGGCACTCCTACAGCAGTGGCAGTGTATAAGTATGAATTTAATACAGTAAAACCCCTCTGAACGACTGTTAATGACTAATCATTATGTTCGCTCACCGACCATTCCCCTGTTAACGACGGGCTGTTGTCGGTATATACAAAAAAATAATTAATGCATTTATTAACCGTGTTTCTTTTAATATTGAGTGTTTAGAATGTTGTTAGTATCTTTATGTATTAATATCCATTGTTTAAATATTATTAAGTACGTTTTTTTGGGTGAATAATGGTAACTTTCGATGCTTTCGGAACGAATTAAACCTTTAACGTGTCTTTCCTATACTCGCTTAACGACCAAATCACTTAACGACCGGCTTCGTGGAACCAATTGCCGTCGTTAAGAGCCGTTCGACTGGAATTACGGCTTTGCAGAATATTTTAATTGGCACTTTGTTTGTGGTTGAAAAGCCAGTTTCTACACCGGTGATGGAGCCTTTAATCACCGTGAGCCCCACTGGAAATGTACACTGGTTCCTCTTACACAAAGACAAAGAGCCCCCATATAGCCTTAACAGACTGTTAGGGCAAGTGCTGTTAGCGAGCATCTATGACGGCCGGCACGGCACACGAGGGGTTGGATGGCCATCACCACGCCCGGCCGCCTTTGTCTCCCCAGTGACGACGTTTATACACCGCACCAGATACTCATTTGAGGCTGAGTCGACCTAGGGGAAGCCCAGGACCGATTGGCCGTGAGCGGGAGTCGAACTCGGGTCGCCGGGTTTGTAGCGCATTGCGCTAACCGCTGCACTACCTCCTCCTTACACACACACACTCATCTATGCCCTTTAATCCTTTCAACAAAACTCTGACGAGCACTGTCCAATCAATCAACCAACATTCATTTTACGTGCCAATATCGAGCTAAATACCAATAGGCACCAATGCACATTGTAGCAGAATGGGAGCGGTACAGGGAATAGGAACGGACCCGTCACGACCGCAGCGGCGAACACTGACCGAGCTAAATAAATTGCAACTGCGCGCAAAATAAATTGCAGCCGTGCGCGATGAATAGCATAAGAAAAGGTAAGTAGTAAATAAAATAAATAATAAATAAATATTTCCTTTGGGTGTTTCGGTAAAGTCACGTAGATAGGTTCAAGGAAAATAACAAAAAAAAACTACGACGTTTCAGGAAGATGACGAACGCTTGTGTTGCGATCGAAACGTCGTATATTTTTTACATTTATTGTCATTTCCTTTGAACCTATCTACATGACTTTTACCGAGAGACCCAAAGAATATGAATTCCTGCAGTCACGAAAGCTTTAAGTCAAGAATAAAGAAACAGTATCTTATCTTAGATGTTATGGGAAGGCGAATCTGAATAGGTGTGTCTTGCACGGATCACGGAATTGAGAGACACTCGGCGCGTTTCGGACGTCTGGTGGCAGGGTGTTCCAGAATTGCTCCAAGCCATTAACCAGCCCCACACTATTCCCCTCGTAGGACACGGTCGTGCATGTTGACCTTCTTTCGCACCGTACGAAAGCCAAACCGTGCTAATCGGAGATGCGGGAAATGTAACGGACATTTGTTAGCTTTGTAGCGAACTTTCCCTACTCAGCATCTTTGTTAAGCAGTTCCTCCTCCGTCTGTTAAACCTCTGAAGTAAATATATCGAAACTTAGTACCGCAACCACTTACTCTGTCCTCACAGGTTTTACTTTCCTTCATATTTAATTTAAATTTACTTTTGCGCCACTCCCCGATACTTCTTAACGGTAAAGGGTAAATAAGTTGCAGACACAGCCTCCTCCTCCTAGACAAGAATAATCGAGTCGATTGGTAATCACGCAATTCTTATAGCGTGAGGCTATCATGGAGGAAGGTGCGATGTTTAACAGGTACAGCAGTCCATATTCTTTGGTTCTTTCGGTAAAATCACGTAGATAGAAAAATAAAAATAAAGTGAATACAATAAAAATAATAAAATTAAAATAAACAAAAACACTAATGTTACAGTCTACGTTATAGACTGCCAGTACACTCACCCAGCTTAATAACCATTGCTACAGCATACATTATAGACTGCCAGTACACTCACCAAACTGAATTACCAGGCTACAGTCTACATTATAGACTGTCAGTACACTCACTCCGATTTAGAACCAGGCTACAGTCTACATTAGTGTTTTTTTGGTTTTTATTATTCACATTTTTATTTTATTATTTTTATTCACTTTATTATTTTTCTATCTACGTGACTTTACCGAAATAACCAAAGAATATGAATTCCTGCAGTCACGAAAGTCTTAGGTCAAAATCTAGACATAGCAGTCGTTTCACAGTAGGGGGCGATGTTGCTGCGTGTAATCCTAATTGAGTAATCTGCGGATATTTTTTAGAATTTGGCCTCCTCTTTTCGAATGACGTCACGGGGATCTTTAAAGTCTGCTGTGAAGCAGACAGCGCAGTATTTTTTATGGTTAATACACCGGCTTGCCGGTCTCGAACCACAAACCTCTGCAACAGGCAGTGAACACCACTGGGCCGTGTCACTGCCCCGACTCCTTACTGTTGAAACTATTCGGAGGAAACTTGGGCATCGAAACGCCGCAGGTTCAGTAATGTTGGAGCAGCGCCCTCTCCATGGGGCTGATTGCTGAATTTAATGCAGTATTCCTCAATCCAGGATGCTCCCAATCCAGGTTTCTATTCAATAAAAATACTCTCAACCCAGCTCCTGATCCAGTAATCCTCTGATTCAGCATGGCTTGGTCCAGCTCCCACCTTACCCTGGACCATTTGATCAGTGGCTGGTTTTATCGAACGATCAAAGTGGAATATTATCCCAACGTGTACTGATTTAAATTACAAACTAAGTGAAACAAAGTCAACAAGGCGTTTAATGCAACTGCCCACTGCTCCTCAGTTGACGGTGTGATGTCGCACATGCAAAGCCTAATGCTAAAATATCTGACGGACTTTGCTGGACGCAGTGGCGACTTCCGCTCCTGTGGACGTGTGTCACGCGCGCCTGACGTTAACAGCTGAGATGAGTTAGATGATACATTCATTATCGTTCACAAATCAAAAGTATTTTACGCCGGTTACAGGGAAATAACTTTGGTCTTACCAATTAATCTGTCCATGGTCCCATCCCCCACTACTGCTAACAGTAGTTTCGCTCTATTCCAGCGTTAAACAGTTACTGCATTCACATATGTGTGTACCTACATGAAATAATAACCTTACAGTATTACATGGAAACTATATGACTGTTGTATTTGAGTTTTTTTCATTTAAAATCAATATTGGTTAAACATATAGATACCACCTTTACCAAACAGTTTTCTGGAATATGATGGTGCATAGCAGGTACAAATAATAACACTTCATTACTCCTTCACGTTTGTAAAATGCGCTTTATTTTCTCACTAAAATGTTGCCCGCAAACTCACCGCAGCGTCTTGCAATGCGCACGACATTCACATTCACAGTAACCGCGAAAGATAACACTTCCGTGGTGACTTCTCTTGCTCAGAGGGGCCGAGCTCCGCTGTGATTCCCCAAGGGATGAACTCAACGGCCTGATCCGTCATCCGCTAATTCCTCAGTTTAAAGCAGGAACGCAAAGGTTTATAAAAATCAATTACAGGAAGGTGTCGATGTTGCTTCATTCTTTGTGAAATACAAAGTGTGTGCGTTACATTAAGCGTGTTGCCCACGATCTTGCGGCTAATCGATTGTTGCAGGAGACGTGTGATTTTAAAATAAGAGCTTATTAGCTCATCGGATATAGTCTAACGTGGAGTCCATGACATTGTCACACACATCCAATGTCAAAGTATCTCCCGACTCCAATAAGTCGGGGTAGTGCTCACTCCTGTCGGTGGCCCTGAGCCAGTGGTGTGATTTTACACATTCACATGGCAGGGCCAAGTATATCCCTTAGAATAAACCCCCGTAAAGACATCACACGACATAGTGCCATTCACTCTTCAAATTGCTTGCTGTGGTTGTACTCTCACCAAATTGATAACATCACATGGATAATTTACTGTGGACATCTGCATATTAAGTTACTTCGTGCCATTAATAATGTTTAATAACCAGGATCAATACTGCACAATAAATGCAGTACAAGTGTCCACACACACGTGGGCCGTGCTTTTGAAACCTGGTGCAGCCAGGCTTATATGTCGTGCATGTCAAGCGCACCTTCATTATCTAGCTGTCAGGTACAGTTAATAATGCATCTTACAATAACAATTCCTTATAGAGGAAACATATACTAATCAACTTATTACTAATTTATTATATAATTACGATACCCCCCCCCCCCTCCGCCTTTGATCTCTAATCTCTGCACCTGATGGGGTTCGTGATGAAGTTGTGTTGCTCTATTTAAGACCGGAAGAAGGTGGATTGCTTCACTATTCTGGCAAATCGCCCGAGGCGTACTCAAATTGTAAATGTTGTGATTTTACTCTCCAACACACCGTTGGGCTGGAGTAGTAACTCATTGGCGTTTTGTTTGTGACAAATCCCTTACTAATTGGCTGTGTCGGGTGGTGGATAGTTACGACACATTTATACTTACGTGATCTAACCCAAAACACCTTTATGGTCGCGAAAGACTACGTGTTAAACTACAGTTAATAACATCACGTAATTACAGTTCTACTGATAAGATTCGTATGCACATCAGTTTCGTTTGTAATCGCATAAGCTGGAAAAGTTACGGTGATTTCACATTGGACTCTCATTCACAATCACTCCACACGATGCCGTCTATAGCGACAATGGAGGGGATAATTCTACCCCTAATTTGTCTGCGGACAGAAGCCTTAATGAATCGATTAATACAGTTCATACAAACAGTACATGTATGTACACATGAATACAAATACACGTGCACATATTTAAATGTGTATGTATATTTACAGATAACTATATTCACTCCAAATGTGGATCTCAAAATTTCCTTATAGGGGAGTGGTCTCAATATTGCAAGCTTCTAGAGCCCTATTTTAATAATATATTTATCACAAATGCTAAATGTATTTTCTCCCGTAAACGTAAATAAAATACCAGTTTTCGATCGCCACATATTCAATCCACCACCGATATCCGCACGTTTGACTCGATGCTGTCAAGATAATGAATGTGGTTGTTATTGTGTTCCCCAACCCTTGCTCTCCCCCAACTGTCCCCTTATCTATCTCTCCACCCCCTGTCCCGCCACTCCTAGGCACCGCCAACGAAACCCGGGACATATTGGTGACTGAAGGAGATCAGGTTGTGCTGCCCTGTGGTGTTGATGATGGCTCCTTGGAGAGGTGACGCGGAGGAGAGTCGTGGTGTACGATACATGGACGGTGACACGGAGCAAAAACGACTTCAGAGCGATCGCATGGACACCGGAGAATGCGCTTTTGGTTATTTGGGTTGTTAATGTATGGATGGGAATTGGCGCGTTGTCAATCATTTGCGAGGCCCAAAACCATTTCTCTTTGCTGATACCTGTCTTACGTATTGAGCATCTGGGGTCATACCGCTGTCTATACACTACGAATTTCTCTAAAATCATGCAAAGACTAGAATATCAACTCATCATAAGAGAAAAAGGTAAACACCAATGGTGAACTCTGCAACTAACATCGGATTACGGTTTCGTTATTTCTGTATGGTGAAACGTTTACAGCTACGTATTTGGGATGAGTTTGGGATATACATTTAGATGTCGTATTTGTAAAGACAATTTCTGTCAGATATTGTTTGTTCCAATTAGCCCCATTATGCACGAATGTAAAACATATTTGTGGAGATATTCGTGACGTGCCACATGAAACTAGTTTTGGCGGGAAAAGCGCGGCGCCGACCTCATGTTTGTGACGTCACTTCCGGCTCGAGGATTCTTCCGAAATTACTTTCGAATTATCTGAAACTTCACATCCAGGCCTGATTTTTGTTTTGTTTGTTATGGAGTTAACACAAACATCGCAAGCATATTCCTACCATGTAAATGTGTCCACGCAGCTGAAAGATAAATAGTAACAAATATTTGTTACAAATGCAAAACAAAAAGGTAAAGATCCAAACACGAGACGAAGCTTTACGAATTTCTCACAAATCTATCTTAATCGTATATTAAGAATTATTTTATCCTGAAATATTTGGACAATGTTATGATATTGTACACTACGTTAATATTTCTAAGGTATAAAGCCACACTGTAGATTCCTTGCGTATCATATGCATGTTTTAATTAAGCAATTTTTAACATTTTCTCATGATAAAAATTGTGTAAATCCTCTGTTTTAATATTAAAACCTAACATTTCCCTTACAATTTTTATTTTAAATTCAAAATGTTTACAGATATTTAACATATGCAATATTTTAAATGAGTGATATACGTTTGGTTGACCAATGTATTTTACAACTTTAATTCAAATGACGTTTTTAACTCATCAATGCCTCATTTTTTGAATTAGAATGATGAGGGTGGTGTGGAGTCACACGATCAGAGCGGCCTGTATTGTTCCTAGCTCAGTGGTGTCATTAATGTTGTGACTAACGCTCACAGGGACCGAACCAGTTGAAAATGTCACCACGAATCCATCAAGATGCATCTCAGAGGTGGCCAGCACAGGTCCTTCTGGCTGTGAGAACTCAAACACAACTCAATTGACTGAACTTGGCAACATATTGGAGCAATACAAGATGCTATTTTTCATCTGTCTTGCAATGATGGCTGTTTTGATAACAGTGTTGGTCGTGGTAATCTTCAAACTGGTCAAGCAAAAACATGGTAAGGAAAACTATTACATTGGCATCTCTATAATTAGTCAGTGGTTGGTGATTATATATATACAGCATATGCACATTGTGGTATAATTATGCACGTAAAATGTATGGCATAGGTAGTAGCGTGATAATCATGCTTGACAAAGAGATGAGTGTTGTGGGGATGGGATCCAGGATTATGGAGCACTTTTGTTAATGTGGAAATGATGAATCTCAGAGGTGGCCACCTCTGACCCTTCTGGTTTTGAGAACTCAAACACAACTCAAGGCACTGAACCTGACAACGTAACTAAGCTCTACAAGATGCTATTTTTCATTGCCGTTGCAACGGTGGCTGTGTTGCTACTCTGGCTGTTGCCTGATGATGCTAGTTGTATTTACTGGCGCAATGTCGTACTCGATTGTACATGTTGTGGATTTACTCTCCAGCACATCGGTGTGCTGTATTAATAAAGAATTGAAATTTTGTTTACGTGACAAACTTTATTAATTGGCTGTGGTGGGTTTAACAACACGTTTATATTCATGCGATCTAACCCAAAAACCTCTATGAATATTATAGGGAAGGTTATGAGTTCACATCCTGGTTGCATTTGACTCGGCTTATGAGTCTCCTCTTAGGATTGATAAACAGAGCACAGGTTTGTGCTGTCAACAGTGGTTCAATCAAGAGCCTGCCTGCCTCCATTGAAACGTGGAATTTCCACAGCTGGCTTGGAGCTATGAGACGCGTAATGCACCGCTCATAGAAATGGGGGAATGGTGTTCATGGCCATGTTGATTTTGGCTCATTTCTGAGAAAAGGGCACAAGTCTGTTTACATCTGGTCTGGATCTTGATAAAAAAAAGATCAAGTTGGCTGTGCATAACTTACACGTCTGTTAATAAAATAAGTAAATTCCGAAATCTATGCGGCCATAACACAATCAATGCAACTAATTATAACACAGCCTAGCGTAAGCACGTTCTGGCGCTTGTTACAAGAGAAGGCCATTGCGCTGTTGTCATGGTCCAACGTTGAAACATTACCTACGAGTTAGTCTCTTGGAATATATACATGAGGAATAATCACGTGCTTGAGTAAAACTAAACAGAAACCCTCCTGAAAAAAAGAGTCATGAGACTCAGTGAGGCGTTCCTTGGTTAAGAAGTGCAATAAATCGCAATCATATTTTTAAGACATTACCCACTGCCTCGATGATGAAGCCCATCAAGTTAAAACATGCGTATTGATAATTGTTTTAAAGCATTACCAATGCTCTGTTCTCAAAACAGAATGCCTGTCATTGGTATCGCAACTGCAAAAAGTCGGCAAACTTTCTGCGGAAGGATACGCTTCGGTAAGTGTGACTACGCGAGTAACTATGAATACAAGCGATAGTGTGTAGTACTCGTTATTGTAAATATCTGTTTCCTTAACACTCGGTGGACTTGCAGCCTGGGTGGCAGGCTGGCGCAGTGGTAACGCTGATGCCTCACAGGAAAAATATATTGAATTCGATTCCCAACTTGGGTGCCTTTCTGCGTGGTGTTTGTATATTCTATCCCTGTTCTGCAGAGTGTGTGTGAGTGAGTGAATGCGAGCGTGTACATGTGTCTAAAAAATAAGAATAGGTTTTACTCTTTCTGGCAATAAAACAGGTGTTTAGTCGTTCCAACACCAAATAAAAACCTTTTGCAAGGGATCAAGTCTGCATTAACCACACGTACTTGTGGTGAACATGCAAACAAAAATACTCTGATAATATATGGCATTTTCTATGGAAATTATTGGCCTACACAAGAGACAGCCTTCTTTAGGGCCTAGTCTCACCAGTATCAGACCAGAGAACGCCAAAAGGCGAACAGTGCAAAGACAATGCACTATCAGAGCATTTATTGCTCGGGGTGAGCAGCTACAAAACATGACCTTTTTGCCAGCATCAAAGTATGAAAAAATAAGATTAGGTTTTACCTTATCTGGTAATAAACCAGGTGTTAAGATGTTGTTTGAACATCTTATTCATATGCTGTGGGTCGGTAAAGTCACATAGATAAGTTCAAAGAAAATAACAAAAACAGCCAAGAATGGTAGCTTGCCATCCTTTTTCACCTCCATGGTGAATTTGATGGCTGGGTGTATGGAATTGATGTGGTTGAGGAATTGGTTCAGAGCTGGTCGGCCATGTGGCCAGATGACGAACGTGTCATCTATGTCCGTCCTTGTGGAAGACGTACACCGCTCTCATGATAGTAGTTCTCTGCAGACGTAGCAAAATCGGAAATCGCTACAATCCTCAAAAACGCCAAGACACCAAATCTGCAACATCAGTAAGGATGAATGTTCCCCCTCTTTTTTCCTCCTGATGATGATCACTTGTGTTATGATCGAAATGTCGTACTTTTTTGTTTACTTATTTATATTAATTTGAAACTATCTATGTGACTTTACCAAAAGACCCAAATAATATGAATTCCTGCAGTGACGAAAGCTTTAAGTCAAGATATTATTCATACTTTTGTAATAAAACACTTCGACGATGATCTTGGATTCGTGTCTGCTTATTTATTTATTTCTTGACGGCTGGATAGCTCCTCGGTTTTTCCACGTAAACACCGCTCGCCCCTTAGTTCGCGGTGTAAGTTGTTGCTGTCCCGCGCACGGCTCGCTCACGCTCCCCGCTCCCGCGCACCGCTGGCAGACGGCACGCAAGGAGTTCCCGAGGCGCGAGACGTGTTCCCGCTTCCAGACTCTACACACTGACCCCGAGCCCCTTTCTGCTTTCCCTTATAACACCTCTCACACGTCACCAAGCCTCGCATATAGCCATGCCCCCTCACAAACTCTTTAGATGGTTACCCAGGAGCCTCCTTGAGCTCTGCCCTTGAACTTTGGCCCAATTGGATATGGTGGGACAATAGCAATGTGTGACCAAAATCAAAATCGTCTTTGCTAAAAACGTCAGCGTAGTCAGACAGCAGCGCCCGTAGTGCGCTACGATGTTCAATGGCCAATGATGAATTTTCCTGGCACAATTTCGCGATCCACCAATTGTCGGATTTAGGACTGTAATAATGCGCCCCAGCCATTTTTTGTGGACGGCCCTCATCGTGATCCGTAAAAGCGGTAGTGGCATGAGCCTAAACTGTGCCGGCCAGGACCAAAATACCTTCCGGACCCCTGTTCAAAACCTGCAAAAATGGGGCCTGACCAGCCCGGACAATCGTCTAAGCACCCACAAGAGCAAGACTCTTGGTAGCAGTGTTTGACGGGGACAACAGAACCCCTGCTGCCGCGTCTACATCGTCGAAACGTTTCTGGTATCATAATGGAACGAGCATTTGGGAGCCCGGAGGAAGCTCCACCGTGACATCCGCAAGCGCCTGCATGGCAACACATGGTGAGGGACTACTCAACAGGGATGGCAAAAAAAAACATCTTACACCCTTCTGGCAACTCCAGACAGCCCTGATTGACAATAATTTTAACCCGCATTCTACGAAGGAAGTCGGTGCCCAACAAGCAGGGCACCACCAAGGACCTGGAAATCAAGACCGTCCCCGACGCGGCCACATTACCAATGGCGACATGGACTTCCACTTGTCCGATAATGCCCATACTTCCCCCATTAGCAGCAATACACGCATCGAAAGCCGGCCGCACACGCGAAGCAGGAATAAACAGGAGGTGGAAGATGACGTCAGAGATAATAATGGCCGACGCACCGGTGTCCACTAATATCCGAACGTCCACCCCCTGTATAGAACCCGGTACCATGGAGGATCCCGCCGCAGCTGCCACAACCCAGCGTGCCAATTTCCTACATTGCGTAATTGTTCGTGGCGAACCCTCAACGGCACCGTGTGAGTCGCGAATCGGTGGAACAATACGCGCGTCGGAAGATGCATGAGGTGTGAATATATGCCGGGTGTCTGATGTGTGCCAACTTGCCTGGCGGGGGTCACGATCTGTCCATGGAATCGACGCCGGAGATGGAGTCCCGGGATGCTGAGGAGGACAGGGATGACTCTGACAGTCACGCGCGAAGTGGCCCAAGTGGCCACACTTGAAGCACGTTGTGCCAGCCCGCCAGGCGGCCCATCGCCATCCCCGTGCGGTGCCGAGGACCCACCCCGACGCACCCCAGGTCTCCGTCGCGGATCCCAGCGAGGCGCAGCGGCGGCCAGGTCACCGGACCCCTAGTTGTCGAGATGGCGCCTATCCAATCGGCTCACCATCCTTAGCAGGGTCTCCCGTCCAGGCGGCCATCTGCGCCCAATGGCGCAAGTTGTCTTGGGCGTCGAGGCACCTGGCGGCCCACCGGGATGTCAGCGGCACATGACCGCACACAGGTAGGGAAACACCCATCTCTTTGGACAACTCCAACATCTTTCCCAAGATGAGAAGATCAAGCACATCAGGTCTGGCGTCGGGGTAAGCCGCCATCGCGAGTGCCAACAGAGTGGCAGTTCATAAACCTCCGCCATCTCGGCAAATGCGCCCTTCAACATCTTTTTTTTCTCAGAGGAAATGGAGCGGAACACCGCTAGTGATACATCGTCGAGGAGAGTAGGCAAGGCATCCAACGCCTCCTACTCCGTCCACCACACTGAATAAAATGCCGACTCGAACCGCCAAGTAAAAGCACTCCAGTCGCCGCCCGCGACAAATTCTTTGATGTGAGGAAGACGATGGCTGCGCCCCGCGCCGCTATCACTGGGTGAAACTGTCCCCGCCGGCCGCGTGCCACGCGGCTCTGGTGAAATTGCGGGCTCCGACTGCGCACCCGCAGCTGCGCCAAAGATGGCGGCTTCGTGCCACGTGGCGGCCGCCGTGGTCATAATGGTGGACGGCCCCTCCGAGGCCGTAATGGCGGCTGATTCTTGCACGAGGGGACCCTCCGAGACCCCCCGAAGGGAGCCCTGCTCGTCTCCACTCGGCAGCGTTTCCTGCGGCCGTCCCGGCGTTGCGGACGACGCGACCAGCGCCATTAGGTTGAGCAGGACCGTGCGGAGAGAATCTATCTGGTCCGCCACACGCCGCCAGCCGTCGTCCGTGCCCAGAGACGAAGACGGCTCCGCTCCGACGTCTTTGCCTGGCGCCGGGTCTGCGGCACCCGGGGTCGATAGGTCTGGATTGAGAGAGTCGTCATCGTCGTTGGAAGACGGCGCAGATGGGTTCTTTTCTTGAGATGCTTGGACATTCTCGCAGCACCTTATTCGCTCGATTTCAAGAATCGAACGATTCTTGAAATCACTGTTACAACGCTGTGTGTGATCACGATATAGTTTTCTCCGATACCAAGGTTCTCTGCAAACGTACCGTTTTTTATTAGAGATTTGTCCACGAGGAAATTCAGATTTACAAACACAGACACAATTTCAACCGAGAGGATGGTTTCAAATTAAGCAATCACTGGAAAGATGTTCTAAATCAAACCAAACATTAAACTAATTTTCAATGGTACAATATATTTTTTTCAAGTAGTGGTATCCCAAACTTTCACAGCTGCTTATTTTCCCTTCACACCAACATTATATAAACTCACCCCCCCCCCCCTCGCCGGTCTGAACATGTGCCCTCTACGTGCATCATGATAATCTCCCAATTACATGCTAATTTTTATGCTAACTCCTTTGTCAAGGCGCTTTGTTTCCTCCCACACAGCTTGAAGGACGCGGTCTGGGCCTAGCTGTGTTCACTCCAGCGCTGTCCTCTGGACAGTCCGGTCCCTTCACCTGATGAAGGCCACTTGTGTTGTGGCCGAAACGTCGTGATTTTTTGTTATTTTATTTTTCACCTACGTGACTTTACCGAATAAAACCAAAAACATAATAAAGGGTGTTTTGGGTTAGATCGCGTAAATATAAATGTGTCATTAAACCTGCCACCACCCGACACAGCCAATTAGTAAGGTGTGTCACATAAACAGAACATGCAAATTTGTTACTAGTAGAGCATACCGGTGTGTTGGAGAGCAAAGCCACAACATTTAGAACCTGAGTACGACGTTTCACCAGTAATTACAACTAGCATCATAAGGCAACAGACAGATTATTGGAGAAATCCTCCTGTTTCGTTCCTTAAATATAGGGGTAGATGTGATGACGTCACGTGTGTGCCTTTCTTGCGCAAAGTGGGGGGGGATTAATGAATGAATATAAATGACAATGGGTAACCATTGCCGTTTGGGTTATTTATATGGTAATCAACTTACATTATGCATGCGCATTATGCGAGCCCATTGCTCTTGTACCTCCTGTCGATTGTGTGCACTAAAACAGCCGCACCAACGGTAATCCTTATTACAGTATGTCGGGTAGTGGTGGGTTTAACGACACATTTATATATTTACGCGATCTAACCCAAAAACACCTGTATTATGGATAACAATGTGAATACGTGTGTAGCGACGCCGACATATGTTCTTGCTTTGCTAAGAGCCTTTATTTTGAACACAACGCTATTCCTAGGCCCAGGCTTCGGTTCTTGATGCTTGAACTTCGTCCTCTCTCCAACTGTCTCTTCCCCTCGTGCTCTCCCCTTTTATATCCTTTCAGCCTCCTTTTCTCAAAGGTTTGCTCACCCCCATTTCCCTCAGCCAATCATCGTCCTCCTTTTCTAATGGTTGTCAACTGTCTCCTCTACAGTCCACCTCTGTTTTCCCACCTTTTACGTTTCTTTCCCGAACCAATCCCATTTGAGGCCTCTCTGCACCAATCAGAGGGTTGACACACCTCCTGACTATCCATTTGTTTATGTACCGTGTCAAGTAAGTCGTCTGTTGTTTTCGGTCTTTACACGTGTATAAGCCCGATCCCGCCATGTGCA